GAGTTTCTGCCATAGACTGTAAAGGTTTCTGCTCATGGTGAAGCAACGTGTCTGCGTGTTAAGGTGGAACCTGAGCATTCAGGTTGATCACCTCTCATTATAACTCGTTATAAACCTATAAAACTATAAATATTAAACTTTACTTCACGTGTTCATTTGATAACAGCTGTTACATACCTGGGTGAAGGTTACAGTTTATTTAAATGAAAGATACAACGTTACTCCACACTCATGGTTCAGTCCACCTTAAGAAATAAGACCGACCTCGGAAGCAGTTGTGTTTTTAAAAAAAACTTTATTGACACGAGTACACTTTTTTATAAGAATATAGTCTAAACCACAGAAATGACTCCGAAAAAGCTGCAGATAGAGCCATAAGAAATTAATGCAACTGATTTCATCCGAGCGGTTTGGCTTTATGAAGCAGGCACGCAAACGGTTACCTCATGACCTAAACGATGACGCAATGACGCATTACCAGTCGGATTCTGGGCGGTGTGAAAAGAGCCAGAGCTAAACCGAAAGAACCAGCTCTGAACCTGAAAGAATCTAACAAGGAGCTTGAACCGGAGTTGCGTTGGTGTGAATGAGGTATCGGAGACATTTCTAACCCTGTTCGAAAAAATGGTCGACAAAATGTGATTGATTTCCCCCCCCCCACCATTGGCCATTTTTATGTTGATTATTGATGTTACTTGTAAAGAGTTGTTTTTGTTCGCTTGTATTATTTATTTGGAAGAGAATAAACCTAATTTAACGTACTGTCCTTCATGTCTTGAATATTGTATGGGTATATAGTAAATACAGGTAGACTGGTGATGAGGATGACATTGCTTCTGCTTGATTGTTACCTAGATGGCTACATTGTTCTGTGTGGGATTGATAACGTAGAAGGAAAACTTTTGCACAAAATAATGTTGTGCACGGAACAAAAGTTTTTTTTTCAAAATCTGAATATTAACCCTGCATATCAGCATTTTAAATAAAGATATGTGTGTGCGCTTCATAGGTATAAGGCATTAAAATATACATGCCATTTACGGCATTAATTGCTCATGTCAAACCATTTGTAGAGTTGCACTCAAAAACAAAAGTGATTGTATTAGAAGACCTGTGTTCATTTTCTGAACCTTTGCTCTGTGCTCCTATAATGCGATTGAATGATCCAAGAGGTAAGGACATTTGTCTCCAATTTGGGATTATGCATTAAGACAATTGAGGGAAACCAAGTTTGAAATCAACGTTGCACAGGTTTTTTTTTATTTCACCTCTTTTTGCTAAAGTGAGAAGTGGAGCTTGCTAACAAACACAAATTAAATCAGGTATGTGTGCACATAATTTAAAAAACACAAGTTAACAGACAACCACGTTTTGCCAAAAAAAACACAAAAAAACAAAGTTAATTTGATGTAATCGTGCTCTCTCAGGTGTGGTGCCATTTGGACAGGAGCAGAGTTGTGCAGCAATCCTGTCCCTTAGGTGGTGTCCAGGACTTTCCTGTCCACATGCTGCGGCAGGGGGAGGATTCTGGTCCCCATCTTCAGGGGGGAAGGCTTCAGCATCCTCAAGAACATCGTTCATGTTTATGCACAGAAATGCACAACATGAAATTATGTCAGGGGCAAAGTTTGGACTGACCTCCAGCGCTTTGAAAAAGGGTGGCCCTCCAGCGAGTCTTTATCCTTCCAAAGGCTCTTTCCACCACAGACCGAGCCCTGGCATGATGCGCGTTGAATCTGGCCAGCACCTGGCCGTGAGGGACCTTGTAGGATGTGAGTAATCCTACTGGTTTTTCCAGGCAGGGATAACAACCGTCCCCAAGGAGGAACCAACCAGCTGGGGGAAACAGTGCCTGGCAGAAGATGGGGCTGTTGCGAAGTACTCTGGCATCATGAACGGAGCCTGGATAGCCGATGAAGACATCCAGGAATCTCCCAGTTGAGTCACAGATGGCCTGCATCTGGATGGAAGGAAACAGCTTGTAGTTGATGTAGTTCTTGTGGTACTCGTTTCCTGGAGGTTTGATGCGAATATGGCATCCATCGATCACACCAGCAGCACGGTGAAATGCAGGACTCTTTGCAAGCTGACAGAAGCCGTCTGCAATCTCTGGCAGCTCATCTTCGGTTGGCAGGGAAATGAGGGTCTTCAGGTTGGCCTTTATCTTCCCGATGACGTGTTTGACGATCCTGTGGACCGTCGATTTGGGAATCCCGAATGCTGAACTCACCACAGAGAGCGATAGTCCATGGGCCAAGCTGTAGAGGAGAAGAAGCACCTCGATATCTTGCCCCCATCCGTGGTCCTTTTGGGAGGGAAGCATCTGCACTAAATAAGCCACACCGCTTAACTCTAAAGTCCTTCTTTAGACAAGCTTCAGGGTTGGCATACAAGGCGAGAATTGGGGCAGTAGCATTGAGCTGCATGTAAAGACCTTTTCCCCCCTGTAAAAGACAAACACAGGACACAGTATTGTTAAAATACTATACTCCAAGATATCACACACACACACACACACACTAAAAAATATATGTCCCAATGCCGCCACCCCCCCCGCTCAGGCAGCAGCACCCCAAAGCAGTAAACCTAGGGGAGACACTATCCTGTATACACATACAAAGTTAATAGGCTATTATATAAGAAATAAAGTTAAGAGAATTGTTGCATTAGCAATATTTAAATGTTTACCTGCCACTGGCACATCGCTAAGATGCGCCTCGACCTTCTGCGCCTTCCGTTGGATCTTGCCATTGCACCCTCTAACAGGCAACGGATAGCAACGCAGTTCCATGCAGCCGAGATATGTGGGACAACATAACGTCCGTTTCCGTTTCGTGCGGAGAGAGGGGAGGTCGTCCCAATGCAGTGCGCTGTATTTATACCCTTAACCCTTAATGGAGGGAACTTCATTAAGCTGCGAGTGTGGCTACAGACGGAGTTCACTCCGTCACGGAGGGGTAGGGTCTAGGGAGTGGTTTGGGATTGGGCCTCAATATAAACACAATGGCAAGCAGGGTCGTCCCTCCCTACAGGAAGATCACGCAGACTGCGTGGGGTCTCAAATGCGGCGCACCTATGCGTTTATGCGGCACAATTAGTGTGGCGCGGCACCCCTGCTGATCGCTCCTCTTTTGGCAGCCATGTTGCCTGTTTCTATGGCCAGTCTGTACTTTGTCAACATCTTCCTGTGTTTAACATCAGTCACTGTGGTCAGGTAGGCTGCCACAGAGTACTGTCTTTTTAGGGCCAGATAGCATTGCATTTTACTTTGTATTTGGGATTTAGTGCTCCAATAAGTGAGGTCGTTTTTTGTGTGTTTTGTTATAATTTGGTTGACTCTAATTATAGTTGTGGGCTCAGACTGGTCTTGAGGCAGATCACCGGTTTGTGAACAGAGTGTCAGGACCAGCTGAGAGAGGTGACTCTTTTCCGTATGAATCTCTTGATACTGCAGGGCTTTGCGGTGGTAGGAGTGGGGGTCACTTTCTTTTAGATGTAGCCAATATTTAATTGATCGTTTCTGGATTTTTATTAATAATGGAAATGTGCCTCATCATCTAACTTTGCGTGGGGCCTCAAGTTAGCCAGGGACGGCCCTGATGGCAAGGCAACTGCTGTTAAGGAATATATTTTTCATGCCAGAATGAGCTATCCATCAGCAGAGGAGATTTCAACCCCTACAAATTAATATTTAGTAGAGAAAACTTTGGAAAATGACAACCTTAAGTCTTTAGAGTTAATCATCTACCAACTTGACACACTGTTTGGTGTGATATTTGAATGTTCCTCTCGGCAGGTCAGGTCACATTTTTTAAGTAACCTTCCAAACCCTGTGGGCAAAGTATTTGCAACCCCATCTGCTTCATGATTGGCTATTTGCAAGAGGATGGTATCCACCACAGTTGTGTGCTGCTCTTTGTTATGAAGGCTCGTGTCCCCTGCTCTCCCTTCCAGATGTAAGTGGCTCTACGGCGTTCTCCATCGTTTCATCATTGAAGCAGTTGAATTTTATAAAAGTATATCAGCATAATCAAAAATCCCCTTTAAAATAGGGTGAACGATTAATCGATTTTAAATTGAAATCGCAATTTGAAATGATGCGATTACCAAATCGCCAAGCCTGCGATTTTTTTCCTTGTGTGTCAGTCATCCACACCAATCAGAAGTGCTGTGCTCCACATGTACCAACCATTGTTAACCAATCAGAAGTGGCCCATGATAGAAGGTGATCCAAGACAGATTGATCCAATCACCTGCCAAGTATTTTTGAAAGTGCCTGTTTCATGTAAGTTTAGTTCTTTCACTCGTAGCTCGGGCTGCGGGGGTGCTAGAGACGGGAGCACATTGATGCGACCTTCCTAGCCGGAGATATGGCCGCATTTTACAATAAACTTCCATTGGGTCGCTTAAAAACAAATATGGCAAATCGAATCGCAATATTTGTCAGAAAAATCGCAATTAGATTTTTTCCCAAAATCGTGCAGCCCTATTTTAAAGCATATCAGAAAACACAACTTTGATCTGTGTGCTATAACTATTGCACAATGGATAGAGTCAGTGGTCTGTAACGTGTTGGAACAGCTCCAACAGCTCTGCTCTTTTTTCTCCAACATAGCTCTTTCTAACCTGGAGGCAAAGTTCCATTTTGCTGGAGGAACACGTAGGCACACGAAAAGATTCTTAAATAAAAGCCTGCAAACTGTTCATCCAGACAGCATTGAGCTACTTTATTAGATCTGCATTAATTGATTCATTTAAATATTTGTATTGCATCTCAGATATGACACAATGTTTGGGTACATCACATAAATGAAAGATATAAAATGGAAAAAAGCATCATTTTGTGAGTTTTTTTTCATGATAAATTAATTGTTTTCATGCTCTTCATTCCCTCATCTGCCATAATAGGAAGCTAGACAGCTTTCAAGTCACTCATGTGAGAATGTTCAGTCATCTCTATATGGTCCCATCCCTAATCTTATACATATATGATATATATAATATATCATATATATATATATATATATGATATATATACATACATACATACATACATACATACATACATACATACATACATACATGCAAGTATTGCTAATGCCATTGTTTTTCTCAGCCTACCTAGAAAGAATTCCTCCAGCCGCCACTGTTTAGCAAGTGTGCAGAGCAATGTTGATTTAAAATAGCAATTTGAAGGCTTGATGTGTAAAAAGATATTGTGTATATTACCCCCTCGAACCTCCACACAGAGCCCCCCCTCCCCCACATATCAAATCCCAATTTAACCCCTGCTATTAACCCTTGTTGAGAGAGAGCTTTTCAGTGGTTGTGGGCACATGTCAGTCATAACCAATAATATTAATCCACTGGGTCTTTACTTTGTTTGATGATGGAGCAATGAAGGCTTTTCTTTTGATTCCTGCATATGAGGCGTTACCAGGTTGTGGCGTGGAAATAACAATGGCAAACAGAACAACAAGAACAACAAGTATTCTGATGGCAGGGATTTTCAGTTGGCTTGAGTCAGTCCTATGGCACATAAACCCCATATCTGGTTATAAATTGCTCGATATTACACTATTTTGGAGGGGGGGAAAATATCTTTACTCATTTGTGAGGATCTCAAGACGCAGAGACACATTGCAAAGCCATGAAAAATGCGTATTTTGCATTAAATGTCACATTTAAGTTAAGTTTGTTTCATAGTTAGGCTATGATTAGGGTTTAGTTTGTTGGTCAGTCTATACACACCTTTTAAAGAAACACTATTTATAGCACTATTTTATCGCAATGGATCTATCACCAACATGAATACAACCTGAATACCTACCATTAGAGACAAGAGTCAAGAGAGTGACATTTGCAGAAGCTCACCTAACCAAACAACTAGAGCACAAAGACGCTTAAAAAGGATCATAAAAAGCCATTCACATAATGGAAAGGGAAGCTAACGTTGTACTATTTTACACATGCCGGTTAACTGACACAACTAAGAAAGTTGCAGAAAACACAACTTCGCAACTCTGCTCCAAGTCCACCAGCAGCAGAGAGAGGAAAAAGGACCCGAAGTGATGCAAAATAAAATAGCTGTCAGATTTTGTTGAACCGATTAAGTTGCTGTTAAGGCTGCAGTGAGCCCAAAACAACACTAACCTGATTTCGGATAAACGGCAGCCATGATGTCATCGTCCCTAAACTTGAATTCCTGTGCAAACTCCAGGCTCTCTAAGGAGTGAGTTTCTCTAGGAAGCAGAAATCCCTGATACTGCAGACTCAAGCCGCCAGAAGACATGTTGAGAGCGTTGACTAGAAGCTGTTATCAGCTTTGTTTGCAACTGGCAACTCGTGTACATAAAAGCCAAACACAGACAGACATACAAACTATCACGTAGGCGTAGGAGTGACTTCCATGATGCATTCATAACTATGGGAAAAATGAGAACTCACACATAAACGCACTTAAATGACTGAAACCTAATTACCCTACATCAAAACCTCCAAGACTATACATTTCTGATTTATTTGTGTTTACTTTATTATGGTGAGCTGACTTTTGTTGGGCAATCAAGTAGTAGCCTAATTCAGTACTAAATCAAAAATGAATTGAAGTTTTGCCAATCTATTCAAGTTTTTTTGTGGTTAGATTCTTGAAATAACTTTGGATAAAACAAGCTAGATGGGACTTTTACGTACCATGGATGAGAGTAACACATTCGTCACTTCCGGGCAAAAATGACAGCTCCGCCCAATTTTGGGGGAAAACAAAGTTGTCATTTGAATGGCGGTCAATTCAAATTCTGAAGTTTTTGCCAACCCGATCAGAAACTTAATTGGATCTTCAAAGAGCCCGATTACAATGGCCAGACAGGCAAACAATCACATTAAATCATTGGAAATCGACGAGCGGGCTCGATATATGGTTAAATATAGCAGTTGGCGAGAGTAGCATGAAGCTGCAGCGTCGGAGACTGCAGTCTCAGGACCGCACTCCTACGCACTAGGACCGCACTCCTAGGACGCTCGTTTATCATGACACTGCCACCTAGCGAGTAGGAGACATGAATATGAACGACAACGCACAGAGTGTGAGTAATGTGAAGTGCTTTTAAAGTTTTATTTGTTTAAGATTAATAACAATTCCGGTGTCTTGAAATGAAGTGTGATTAGCTAACGTTAACTATGATAGTCTTAAGGCAAACAATCACCTGTTAGCTTATGATAGCTTCTAACTGTATTAAAGGTACTAAAAACAATTAGAAAAACTTCAGAATTTGAAATCAAGCAGGGAGTTTCATACAAATACTTGGGTGTAATGATTGACCATATGCTGTCATGAAGGATCACATTGAATATCTTTGCAAAAGGACAAAACAAAGAATTTATTTTCTCCGCCGTCTTAGGTCTTTTGGGGCGAGCAGAGAAATTCTTCTGTTGTTCTTTACATCTGTGATCTTGTCTATTCTGCAGTACTGCAATACTACCTGGTACAAATGTTTGTCAGCAGCTTTAAAATCAAAACTGCTCCACCTGTTAAAAAATCTGCTCCAAGATTGTTGTTCAAAACATAATCTCTGACCCAAACCATGTTCTGAACATTGAATATGAACTGCTACCATCTAATCGGAGTTACAGGGTCCCACAATTCAATAAAGTCAGACTGAAGCACTCCTTTGTGCATCAGTCAATCCTCACAGTAAATATAGAGCTAAATCCCAGATCAAATGCACGCTGAACTTGAGCATGTTTTCTCTCACTGATTGTGCTGTTATGTTAAATGTTTGTTGTTTGTGTTTCATTTATTGTGTCTGGATACTTGTCTGTTGATCTTGGATATGGAGCTGCTGTGACGCAAGTCAAATTTCAGACTTGATCTGACAAATAAAGTATTATCGTATCGTATTGACCGCCATTCAAATGACAGCGTGTTTTCCCGCAAAAGTGGGCGGGGCCGTAATTTTCGCCAGGAAGTGACGTAGGTGTTATTCTCATCTTGAGAGGTGAATTCCCGCCCATCTACTTCCGACCCGGGACCTTATTTCGGAAAAATTATGTATTGAAGTCAATGGGGAAAGAAAGATTATCTTTCGATCCTGTTTGAATTGTGCCACGAATTGCACATATGATGTTTGTCAATCTTAAAAGATTATTTGTCGTAAAACTTTTGAAATATAAGGCTATGAAAAATGCGCAACTAGAAATGAATACAAATCCCAGAATCCCGGCCCCGCATGCTGGCTCTTACGGAACCGACTAACTCCCCTTTTGTATGTACAGCTATCAACATGCCCAGACTTGTAGTGATTTTCACCTCTTTTAATACTTTTCGCCTCATTCTGAAAGAAAGAAGTGAAATATGCCAACGTGATGACCGTCTTGGTGTGTGGTGCGAGACGGGAGATGAAGTTCATCGAGCGTTTCACACAAAAAATGTTTTACTTCACATTTTTAAGACACATTTTTATTTTCTTGATTTGCAAAATTATCTTTTAAATAGACAAGCATCATATGTGTAACTCGTGGCACAATTCAAACGGGATCGAAAGATAATCTTTCTCTCCCCATTGACTTCAATACATAATTTTTCCGAAATAAGGTCCCATGGAGGTCCACCGGAAGGGGAGGGACTTCGCCTCTCTATA